AAAGAGAGCCTCTACAATATATGTTCCATTCTATATGCATCCGAAGAAGTGGGCTATAGTCCACGAAAGCTTATGCTCTAATAAATTTGTTAGTCTCTAAGGTGCCACAAGTCCTCCTGTTCTTCTTTTTGCGGATACAGACTAACACGGCTGCTACTCTGAAACCTTTTAGTATACTAGAGTTTAGCATCCCATTAATCAGCCACAAGGTGGCGCTGTGTGTGTAAAATACCTCCTTTAAATGAATTCCTGGTAGAGCATTAAAAGATCTAAGGCTGAACGCACCTGGTGTGTGTGTGTAAGCAAGCTCTGTAGCCAGTCCCTGTCTAGTACAGAGAAACGTCATTACCTTGAACTCAGCGGCATTCCTCTGTCAGTGGGCGGGGCAATCACATGTGCGGATGCATTTTTTCTTGCATATTGTAGTCTATAATTTTCATTCACAAACACCGTGAACAAAACAGAGATCAAACCTCACAGAGCATAAACGAAGGTACCTCTCACGTTCGGCAGAATGTGCCATATTAGAGATGAGATTTGCACCTCTCTTGATAGACAACGTCAGCTGGGAGGGGAGTGTAACATGGACCAACCAGCTTTACACTCCCACGCATTCTGGAACTTTGTCACTAGTGCCTGTCTGTGTAATTGAAACCATCCCACACCCAACTCCCTGCCAGCCCTGACCTAGGGCTGACAAATTCAGCTTGTGTTTGGATTCTATCAAGCAGAGCAGTGAGATCCAGCAAGCACTTTTGACTTCTTGCAAGGGTTTTCTTGAGAGAGAGAGAGAGAGAATGTTTGTGAGTAGCATGTTTGGCCACTAATATTACAGCACTAAAAACAAGAGAGACAGGAAGTTTCATAGTCAACAGCATTTCCACCTCTGTAGGGACACCCAATGAATTTCTAATCCATCGCATTAAGCACTCAGCCAAAATGACCTAACATCCAGCTTCTTCACGACCCTTCAGTTGAGTTCTCTATAGGAGGGAGCTTCTAGGAATTGGTATTCCTGGCTGCAGGTTGGGTCTGGCTTCCCCCAGCCTTTGGATCCACGTAATACATGATCCCAAGGGGAGCCATCTCCTAGAGCTTCCCCATGTCCTGTGGAACTCAGGACAGTGAAAAACATGTAAGTCATCTGTAAGGTGAAAATTTATGTAAAACACGACAACGTTTCTCCTTTATTTGCGGTAGAGGGAAGCCTCATAGTTCCTATATGGCCAAATATTGATATTTCTGTGGATGTCTGCTTATACAGGGAAATTGACAGTTGATATTGATATCAGCAATTTCTGGGTATTATTTATATAAAGATGTGCTCTTTAATCGTCTATCAAATGTATCATATTCAGCAGCATAGTATCTGCTCACTTTTATCAATATGTATGTAGAATGGATATCAACTACTCTCTGAATTCACACATGGGCATGGTCCTCCCCTCCTCTTGCCCTGCCCTCAGTTGCTCTGTGGCATTTAAGCCTTTCCTTAGAGCTGTCAGCAACAGCTGCCTCAGCTCTAGGGCCCAGAGGAGGAAAGGTGTGCTGGGCTCCAGCCAGGGATTCTCTCCCTCCTGCCTTTTCCTGACTATTAAGAATGGCCCTGGTACTGCTCCCCTTAAGTGCCATGTGGGCAAGAGGAAGAGCGTGGCAGCTGCAGGTACAAGGACCAAACTTGTGGGCATCAGGTGAAGTAGCAAGAAACACAACCATCAGGTCAACCCGCAAGAATCTCTCTCCAGACTGTTAAATTCTAGGGCCCCAACCTATTGCAGCCAGCCTGTTGAACCAGCTGGACCAAAGCCCTAGCTCTAGCGAGCATCAGTGTCCAAGCAGGAAGGAAAAAACTCACGCTGGTGCACCTAGGAACAAGGAAATCAAGCACATTGAGCTCCAAGGATTTACAGCAAACCATCAGAGGAGTGAAGTTCTGGAACAGCCTTCCAAGGGGAGCAGTGGGGGCAAAAGACCTATCCAGCTTCAAGACTAAGCTTGATTAGTTTATGGAGGGGATGGTATAATGGGATAGCCTAAATTTGGCAATTAATTGGTCTTTGACTAGTAGCAGTAAATATGCCCAATGGCTTGTGATGGGATGTTAGATGGGGTGGGATCTAAGTTACTACAGAGAATTCTTTTCTGGGAGTCTGGCTGGTGAATCTTGCCCACATGCTCAGGGTTTAGCTGATCACTATATTTGGGGTCGGGAAGGAATTTTCCTCCAGGGCAGATTGGCAGAGGCCCTGGAGGTTTTTCGCCTTCCTCTGCAGCGTGGGGCACGGGTCAGTTGCTGGAGATTCTCTGCATCTTGAAGTCTTTAAACCATGATTTGAGGACTTCAATGGCTCAGACACAGGTCTGATTCAGGAGTGGGTGGGTGAGATTCCCTGCGTCATGCAGGAGGTCAGACGACATGATCATAATGGTCTCTTCTGACCTTAAAGTCTATGATTCTATTTTAAGCACCACGAGGAAGCTTCACTCAGGGCTGGACCACTGAGGCTCAGCACCAGGAGGCTGAATTTGAACAGCCAGAGACCAGGGCTATTAGAGGGGGAGAGTGCGGGGCCATATGGATCACAGATACCTTGAGGCGGCAATTTGAAGCTGCAAGCCACTAATTTATTGCTCTGTACAGCAGTGCAGTGTACTAATGCTAGGAGGGGACTGTGATTGGTGCAGACACTGCACTATGAAGGGTTAAGAAAATTTCCTGTTGCTTCGTAGGGATCTGTTTGCTTTCAGGTAATGGAATAAAGACTGCTTTCAAACCAAAACTATTCTTTTATTAAAAAGCAACCACTGGAGGAGAGAGAAACAAACAAACAAAAACACATCAGCACTGTGGGGAATGGGTAAAAGGTTACACATCTTGTCTCAAGTAATTTTCCTCCTAACAGAAGATTTATTTTAAAATGTATCAAAATAAATTCCATTAGAAATAGAAATAATTACAGTCCATACTGGGTCTCTCTTCTCGTACATGCTATTTCTCTCACATATTCCCCCACTCTAATTCCTTTGGAGTGAGGTTTTAATTTCAGGATTAACCACCATTTCCGATATAGTAGGAGGGGGCAGGGAGAAAACTAGAAGAAAACCTGAATCATATTGTAACACTGAAAGTCATCACAGAATCAGCCTCTTACACTAATTAACTTCATGTTTAATTTCATTGTTGCTGGTAACAATTTATTCAACTCTTACAAAATATAAACCTATAGGGCAGTTTTCTCTTAATTCCCATTTCCATCCCGTGAGCTTTGTGTGAAGTCACATTCTACAATAACCTAGAAGCCTTCCATTTCTGTGAGTTCATTTCTCCCTGGGTCTTCTCCCAGAAGTGTGGGTGGAAGGGGTCTCTCACTATGTGGGAAGGCTGCATCATGAGAAAAACCACCTGTGCTTCTTTTTCACACTTTCTAATCTTTCAAAGTAGCAAGAGGTGGAGAAGTGATACAAATGCATTAGATTCAAGGGTAAACTAAGAGACCAAACCACAGACGTTGGACTCAATATTCATATATCCTGCAGTCTGAACTTGGAATCTGATACATTCCCTCATTGGCTATAAATCATTTGCCCAGCATGGAAGTGCTTCTTGCCCAACAAGACAGCCAGACTGGGACCCATAGGCATGGAATGGCTCTGAAGGAATCAGCTGAAAGAGACAGTTGTTCCCAATTTAATCATGGCATCCTTTAGGAGCGTGATCAATGCCACTTAACTAGTGAGCAGCGTTCTAAAAATAGTTTACCTGGGCCACAGGTCACCATAGCTTCCATCTCTGGGGTGAAAATCAACCACTCGTACCTGCAATTTCTACCTGACTTCTTGTCAAATCTTTGACCTTACTTGGAGTAATTTTACACTTCCCTGGCGTAGAATTCTTCACCAACCACACAACATATCAATAGCGATAGTGAGGTATAACTCCCCCCAAAATGCCCTTTTATTTCTTTAATCTGGTGGCACAGGTTTAAATTAGGGACTAAATTCAGGTGCGGCTTAGATTCCCTGTAAAACACCAAATGTCAGGTATCTATTAAAAATAGGTTTCTTTCTGCAGCTATATCCCACTCAACACGGATTTCATTTTCTATACATTTGCAGCAGCATCTCCCAGGGGTGAGCTGAACAGAAATGTCAGTTCCATTTTCCCCATCTCTACCTAGATAGGGATTGCATTTCCCAAATAATAGGCAACATGCACCTGATTAGGAAGGAGATATCTTCAGGGGTGACCTCCTGTAGAGCCCATGCCACAACTGCTTTGGGAGCCCAATGCATGGGTATTTTGCTTAGTTCCAAGTCATTCACTAGGGAATCCTCTTCCCCACCCTTTAGAAATAATATTGACCTAACCAACTGAACAAGAGAGGGATTGCGATGGTGATGAGGAATAAGGGAATCCCTCTGATTTACCCTATCTTCTTCTGTTACAGAGGGTGAAATGACATTTTTCCCTATCCCTGCCCTGTTCCTGCTTTTTGTTATAGTTCAATATATTTTAAGTGAGGAAAATGGTAGTAAAAATATCTGCTCTCCAGCACAACCTGAAGCAACATCAGAGCAACTGGGAATGAAACAATTTGTTCCCGAAGGGGGAACCTGATGACTAACAATTGCTTTGAACTGGGGGAACAGTATAACCGTGATGCTCAGGGTTTGTTTAGACTAGGAAAAGTGATGGAGTTTAGGTCAGGTCAAGGGGAAAGCTAATGCCAACCACTGCATCTGGGCTGCATCTGCACTACAACTATAATTGTCTTTTTACACCAAGATCACTAACTCGAGCAGCCAATGCCATGTACAGTCCTAGTGGATGTAAGGCACAGGTAGTTTTTGCCTCAGTGTAGCTTGTTGGGATCAAACCTCTCTCCCCCACCTAGAGCTGATGAACATTCCTGGCTGGAGGGACGCACACTCCTATGACTCAAAAGGAAAGGAGTTGATAGAAAAGATCACAGGACGGACCCCAAAGAAGGTGAGCTGCAAAAGGCAGAAGCAGGCAACTTATCTGGGGGAGCTGAGAGACCACGGTGAAGATGGTGCAAAGATCACTCTGGGAATTAGCAAATGTGATTTTTTTTTAAAAGAAAAATCTTTGGCCAGCCCTAGTCAAGGCATTTATTACAGTTCTCTCTCATGTGGATCTTCTGATGTCTAATAAGGATTGAGCTCTGATTGAAGCTTTTCCTGCACTCAGAACACATATAGGGTTTCTCTCCTGTGTGGATTCTACGATGTTTGATGAGGTCAGAGCTATTATTGAAACTTTTCCCACACTCAGAACATGTGTAGGGCGTCTCTCCTGTGTGGATTTTCTGATGTGAGATGAGGGCTGAACTATCAATGAAGCGTTTCCCACACACAGAGCACCCATAAGGTTTCTCACCTGTGTGGATTTTCCTATGTCTGATAAGGTTTGAGCTCTGATTGAAGCTTTTCCCACACTCAGAACACGTGTAGGGTTTCTCTCCAGTGTGGGTTCTCCAATGTCTGATAAGGGTATAGCTCTGATTGAAGCTTTTCCCGCACTCAGAACACGTGTACGGTCTCTCTCCTCTGTGGATTCTCTGATGTGTGAAAAGGTCTGAGCTCCCACTGAAGCTTTTCCCACACTCATGGCATGTGTAGCATGTCTCTTCCAAGTTGATTTTCTCGCGTGTAATAAGGTCTGAGTGGCTCCTCAAGTTTTCCTCTGGCATCTGCTCAGTCTCACAGGCTTTTGCTTTTTCTGGGAGTGCACAACTCCAGGAAACATTCCCTTTGGATCTTCCTGATAACGTCCCATGTGGTTTTACTTGCTCAGCATCTTCCTGCTGGGGATTCTCCTCATTCTCACTCACCATCCCAACACCTGAGGGGAGACAGAGAGAATCCAGACATAGGTCACTCTCTGTGCCGGAGAGAAAGGAAATCTCAGAGACAGGAATTGAAAAAGGGATGAACAAACCAAAAGATGTGTGGGAGAGATCAAACCTATCAGGAGCTGATTTTCCCCAAACCCTTCCCCAGAAGAGGAAGGGATCAGTTTTGGTCCGCATCTCACCAGAACACTCAGGGGAAAGTGAGATTGGGGAAGGACCTGCTGCCAGTTTTCAGTCAGGATAGGTGGGAAGCCATGAGTGACATCTGCCTAATGATTCCATATCTGCAGGGAACAATCCTGAACTTGGACAGCTCACAAGGTCTTTGTAGGGCATCCCAAATGTTTCCTGCATTTTTGAGTTGGTTTAACCCAGGGGTAAGCAACCTATGGCACGCGTGAGAGCTGATTTTCAGTAAAAAGAACAGGAGTACTTGTGGCACCTTAGAGACTAACAAATTTATTAGAGCATAAGCTTTCGTGGGCTACAATCCACTTCTTCGGCTGTCGCCCACGAAGGCTTATGCACTCATAAATTTGTTAG